CTTATTTACTGATGGCCTAGTGGGTAGAGAGTTGCCTTACCAGCCCATAGGCAAGGGTTTGCATCCACCAGCTGCTCCCAGGAAGAGAGGTGGACAGTCTCTCCAGTGCCTTTTACAGCCTCTGAAAACCCACTGGAGGGTCAGCTATAAGTCAGTTCTGGCTCAATGGGCAATGAGTTTGAGGTTTTCTTACCTACTGACTTTATGGCCTTTGTCAAAATTATAATGTCCTTCTGAGCCTTAGTTTCTTCAACTCTAAAATGGGAAAATAGCATTTTGTCTGTCTATGCCATAATATTCCCAAAGAATGAAAATTATATAGGTGAAATCACTTTTAGAAAATATAGACTCTTTGAGAGTATTCTTAAACCAGTCATTTATAACACATATTCTTAAATTAGTTTCTAATATGTAACACAGGCTTGAAGAGTTTGGAAATGGAAACATTCAGTGCATTAACTCAACAGCTTTCCTCTTAATACTGGTTTTCCTCCTTCCCTTCCTGATGAAGCATATGCTTGTATATGTTACTAGGTAAAAGATGCTTAAAAAGTTACAGGGCCAGATCAAGAAAGACCGCACTTGAATTCCATGTCTTCCTGGTTTCTCAGTGAATTCTCAGACTAAATTTTTAAAGAACACTCCTGATTGTTAAAGGAGACATATCTAGGTTATTCTAAATTCCTGTCAGAAAATTCAGGTCATTATGTTATATTTGCTCCCCAGAGAAATGGGGTGGTGGTGGTTGTTTTCATCCTGGGAAGAGGAGTGGTATTCCAGAAATTGAGCATAAACTGGAGAGAGAGTTCTAGTCTTATGAACTCTGGCCCTGGTTTTACTTCTGACTTGCTTTTGGACTTTGCATGAGACTTTCAAAGACCACTATGCCACTGTGTCCACACTTGGCATCATTAAAAGAACAGAGGCAGCTATGCAAGATCTTTCTATGTTAATCCTATCATTCAGATTATTCAGAACTCTATATTCTCTGCCGTTTATTAAATCTGACAGATAGTTCTAGTCAATAACTAGGAAGAGGGACTCAAAGAAGAGTTGAGACTTAGCCAGTGAAGTAAATCTCATGCAGCCAATTAGCACCAGTTGTTTCGGATTGAGGGTAAAATTGGTTTCAGTAATAAAAACATATTCACTTCACAGTTCATTGTAGAATCAGCCTCTTGCTACAAGAGCAAACACAGGCTGGGAAGGTGGGAGAACACTGGCTTTTTTTTAGTAGCTCCCTGCTCAGGGAGACCAGTGTGGGTTGAGTTTTGCCCTCGAAGCTCTTCCAAAGAGCTAGCAGCCTTTCTACTGAAGTACCTCTCAGTGGACTCCAACTTCCAGCCTTTCAGTTACCAGCCAGGCTTGTTCATATCCGCCCCGTCCAACTCGATAAAGAGAGAAAGGACAAACAGCTAACAAAATAGTTCTCAAAAAAGAGATGCTTTAGAAATGCTGCCAAAACCTCTATCAAATTGGAATCGAGCTCTCAAGCCTCAGCTCAGGGGCACAGGACACTTTGTCCCTAGGGCCTCTCAGAAGGCCATGCTCCCAAAGGTGCATGTATGTTTTAGTGAGATTCTCAATCATGTAAAGTATTTTCTTCATTTCTGGATTAGAAGGTCCAGCTGACACTTATTCATCGACACTCTGCGAAAGCACCGGCTGCCTCCTCGTTGCTTCTTGCTGCCTGCAGAGCAGCGCCTCATGGCCCCTTTGTGCAGATACGAAGCAGGCAGCCTGCTCTCCAAAGCCTGGGCTTTCACTTAAGTGCCTATTCAGCCCACAAGGAGGGACGGTTTGTCTCTGGCCGCATTTAGCACATTCAAAACGTGCAACTCCTGAAGCTGGGAATTTGCAAGCTGTAATTCTTTTTTCCCCCACCCCAGCCCCTCGCTCGCTTTTCTTTTGCTGGTGACCCTGTTCTTTGTATAGATTTCTCAGACAATCAGGAGCAGTCCTTGCTTGCCGCTACCACAAGTGCCTGAAGTTGCCTGTGTTGAAAATATTTATAATGAGGCTGGGCTCCTGTGAGGCCCACGGGAAGCAGCTAGAAGTCCTGCTCTTTGATTCAGCAGTCCCGTGCAGGTGGGGACAAAAGGCTCAGTGCACCCCTTTAGAAAAGGGGACACACTTCTGAGTAAAACATTCCTCTCTGGCTTTGATGCGTCCATGTGACATCACACTGGGAAAGTGAGCTGCTTACGCTTTATTTTTTCAATCATAGTGTTTCTGTGGGGTTCAGATGTCAGAGTTGACCAGTTTTTCTGCTAAATTTTATTTCCACTTCTTGTCACTGCCAATTTTTCAATTCCTTAAGAAGAAGTTTGCAGGAGCCCAAAGCCATTCAATCCAATAGGATCTTTGTATCATTATTCACACTGCCAGTAAAAACTAGTACAATGATTTGGCAGCTACAAGCATAAATACCTTCAGAACATTTCCACAACATTTGGGAACATAAGTATCTGAATATAAATATAGCATGTAAAATAGAAATTCTTTTTCCCTGGCTCTAGGTATTTCTTATCTTGTCTCTACTAAAAGTTAAGATTAATAATTTTTAAAAATTTTAAGGTAATGAGATGTCACAAAACATTACCATTTTAAGTGTAAGTTTAGCAACGATTACATTCACCATTTTGTGAAAGTGACACCACTGTCCATTTTAGAAAGATGGTGTTTTTTTAAATCAACCCAAACAGAAACTTAGTCTCCTTTAAGCAGTAACTCAACATTTGTCCCACAAACAGTTTTGTCTCTCCACATTTGCTAGAGTTGATTTACTGAAGTGGATCATACATTACGTCTCTTTCTGTGTCTGATTTCTTTCGTTCAACATAATGGTTTTAAGGTTCACCCATGTCCTATCGTGTTTCAGAAATGCAGAAGCTGTCTGTGTGCCTGGGAATGTAGATATTTTAATCAGCTTGATGGCACAGTGTCCAATCTGGTCTTAAGTAAATTCAGATATTTTGGTCGCTGGAGATGTTTTCCAGGTTGAGTCAGTTTTAAGATTCACCAAGTTTGCCAAGCCCTGGTATGTGTTTTGGAAAAAGAAAAGAAGTAAAACCCCTGAGAGAAATGAAAGGCACACAAACAAAAGCAAAGTGTGTGCATCTTCACCACAGCTCAGCTAGCACATACTTTTCACAGCTGGGAGCCATCTCCACGGGGGACCAGGCAGTCTGCAGGGAGCTGGTCCTCAGGAAAATGTGGGAGGGCTGGACCAGAGGGGGACATTTACCCCCACCAGAAACCCTTCCTCCCACTGCTTCAGCCCTATGGTGCCTTTATTTCCTCAAGAAAGTATTCACTGGTGCAATGGATTACAGAATTGAGCATATGCTAACTCCTCCCATTGGCACCTTTCAGAAGAAAAAGAGAGAGAAAGAGAGATGGGTGCCCACCCAGAGAAGGTAGAGGTTAAAGGGAGGACTCAGCAACTTTTCTTCCCGCATGAACTTGGCCAGACTTGACATTGTCAGACTGGTCCCTGTCTCATGCTTATTCTCACAGAAGGCTGTTGTTATTATTGTTGTTGCTGTTAGGAATCCAGAACTCACTCACAGCTCTCTCTCAGGCAGGTTTTCAGAGGGTATAAATCACATGAGAGAATGGCAAAGGACACACTGACAAAGGAGATTAATCAGAACTGACTTTGACAAGCACTGTGGCAATTGGACAATTAAAACAGACATTCGGATGGTGGGGGAAGAAGAACAAACTGGGGAGGAGGGTAGAGAGAATGTTGCAGCAATGAAGGAATGAAAACCCCAAATCCCTGTAAATGTTCATTAAAACTAATAAAATTTAATAATTAAAAAAAATCACATGAGAGAATACTGCCCACACTGCCCATCCCCACCACCCAGCAGCTGGTGGATTTGAACTGTCTGCTTTTGGGTTGGCAGTGCAACTCCTTACTGATTAGGTCATCAAAGATCCCTCTGAAATGACTATAATCCTAAAAAACCCCAGACACTTCCTGGAAAACAAGGTAGACGTGTGCCATCGAAAGCAGGAGGGTGGTTATTTCAGAAAGAAAATTAAAACTCACGTATGGTGTGCATTAAGCCCTGACAAATCAGGATTGTCATTACTCCCAATTGTTGTGTCTGATTTCAACATGATTCTCGTTATTTTGCTTGTGTGCGATACATTTCCATGTCACTAGGTTTCACTTGTAAGTTTCTCCACTAGTTCCTCTCCATCTGCTTCCTCTTCCTTGCCTTTTAAGGTGGTAGAGTTCCTGTGAACTCAATGGTTTAATTCTTTTTGGATCATAGTTGTTGATAATGGTCATCCAGTCAACTCATGTTGGGCTCCCCGTGTGCAACAGCGAAAGCGGGTCATCAGGCCTGTCTCCCAGAGTGCGTCTGTGGTGGGGGGCCGTTCAGGCTTATCTCTGGGGTACAGTCAGGCACTTAACTATTTGCACTCCCAGGGATTTCTCTTTTAGATGGAAAATCTTTCTGTTTTGCATATTTTACTGTAGCTTAATAATTCATGTTTATGTTTATTGATTACACTTTACCAGATATGTCTACCAAAGATATAGACATGGCTAACATTTTATTAATGCTATCATTGTTAATACTATATATATATGTATTTATACATAAAAAATAATATATATAAAGTATGTGTAGCTAATTTACATATATTTATTGTAAATAAATTATTATACAAGACTGCTTAATCTTGGTATCTGAAAATTAGGAAGAACATTTAAATCCTCCCACGTGGGAACACTGCATTCTCTGACCCACCCCCAACCCTCTGTTTTTTAGACCTCTTATGCTAAAAACTAAGAATCATGAAAGAAAAAGTATGTTAGAAAGACAGCACATGAGCGTTAAAGGAGAATCCCAAAGAGAGACCTTTAGAATGGCATTTTGCAGGCGGGGAAGGGCATGAACATCGTGTTAAAGCAGCATAACCTGATCTCAAAGCAGACCCAGGGAGCCTAACTGCTCTCTTCTTGGTCTTGTTTGCAGATGATCACTCCAGAATACTGCTGAAACCGGAAAACAGCCACAGCAACTCCGACTACATCAACGCCAGCCCCATCGTAAGTACATCCCCAGAGTTAAGAGTCAGCTCCTGGTTTCTTTATCAGCAGAAGAAGCTACACAAAAGAGAAGCTCCTAGAGAGGATGCCAGTGTGTCCTGAGTCTATGGCCAACCTCCAGCAGATACTTGTAGAGGCTCTCGACCCCAGCCTGTCTTGTTGAGATTTCTTCTCTGGACCTTTTAAATGAGACAACAGGTGTTTATTAAGGGGGTGGAGATGGTGTGATACATCTAGTTGTGTGTAGAATCCCACCAGAGACTCAGCAGTTTTCTACGAGGAACCTATGACTTTTAGGAAAAATTCTTTTTTTAAAAAAATTTATCATTAATTTCAATAAAAATTTAGAGACTTTGGATTTCCATTCATTCATTGTTGCACTTTTCTCCCCTCCGCACCTTTCAGAAGCCCCCCCCCCCACAGTACACTACCCTCTTGGAAAAGTAAAAGAAAAATTCTTTCATTGTTTTATAATCCCTCCACTCCACTATGCAGCCTCTGTTCTGGACTCCTGTCATGACAAAAATACCTGATAACATATTCGTCTTAAACAGTTTTCTCCCTCATCTGTTTAAGTGCAGTATACATTATTGAACCCATCTTTCTCAGTCTCCCCCCAACCCAGAAGTCAGTCCTATTTTACAACAGTGGCATCATGCAGAATTTGTCCTTTTGTGACTGAGATACTTCACTCAGCATAATGTCCTCCAGGATCACACATTTTGAATAATATTGCGTGAGTTCCTTGGTTTTCAATGCAGTGTAGTATTCCATTGTGTGAATATACCACAGCTTCTGTATCCATTTGTTTGTTGATGGGCACTTAGGTTGTTTCCAACTCCTTGCTATTATGAACAAAGCTGCAATAAACATGGTGTGCATATATCTGCTTGGATGTCAGTTATGGTCTCTTTGAGGTATATTCCTAGTAGCGGAATTGCTGGGTCAAAGGGTATCTGTATTTGCAACTTTTTGAGAAAGCGCCATACTGCCTTCCACAGTGGTTGCACCATTTTACACTCCCACTGACAGTGAATAAGGGTTCCAGTTTCTTCACAACCTCACCAGAATTTGTTGCTTGCTGTTCTGTTAAATTTTGCTATTCTGACTGGGGTGAGATGATATCTCATAGTTGTTTTGATAGGAAAAATTCTTGATTGGTTCTGTTTCCCTTTTCTAGAGCTGTTTTCTCTTCTAGTTTTTCCAAGGTTCAGGGAAAATCAAACCTAGACTTCGTAGTTTTAAAACAAACAGCACTAAGGGAAATGCAAAGTTATAGATTAGTTCCCTTCAGGTTCTACCAGTGAATGGAAGCTTTTCTTTTTTAAAAAACAAGCAAACAAAAAAACAACAAAAAACAACAACAAGCAACGCAAAAAAGTAAAAGGGAAAGATTATTTTGTGACTGTTTCCTTATCTGACAGCTAACACCTTCAACACAGAGAAGTGTAAGAGATTTGAAGTATTTTCTATTTCTGAAAAAATTGGCATTGCATCTTCTTATAGCCTGGTAGTTAAAAGACCCCTGTGAATCACAGTGTTCCCCTTAGCCCGAGAGTTCCTTATGGCCCACTCCTGATGTGGATCTTGTCCTGTCAGCTCTCTATCACTCCTGTTGACCACGTCAATATTCTTCCTCTGTGGTGAACCTTGCGGGCAGTGGATTGGGCTGAAGAGGGGGAAATCAGGAGCCCACTAGAGGCAGAACAAAGGCAAGAGATGAAGCGAATGGTAGAGAGGTTAAAAAGTCAGATTTAAGTGCTAATTCAACTGGGTTTTCAGAATTAAGTTAGAGTGACAGTAGGTGTGAAGAGAGTCAAATGAAACAGTTCAAAGGTAGAATTTTTTTTAGAGAGCTTGGTTGACAGCATTTTAATCTAATGGCAGAGAACAGGTGGAGATTTATTGGGAGATTTATTGTTGTTTCTGAGGAACAGAGTTTGCAGTGTCCACCCCTTTCTCTGACTGGGCTTCTGGGAAGCACTGAGACATCTCCTGACGGTTTCAAATGTAGATTTGATCAAATTATAGTTCCTAGAAGATATCACACTGTTCTGGGGAGTCTAAAGGAGGGAACTGGTGACGATGTAGATTACTGAGTGATGGTGCCGGTCATTCTCCAGGCTGCTAACATGCTCTCAGAGCAAATTGACAGTCGTGCTTTAGTCACTTAGTCATAGGTTTGAGCTTGGAAGCATCATCCATCTGATTATAAACAGAAGTTGTTGCCAGTGGACCATCTTCCTGTTGGCTTTCTGTGTGTCCGTGAGTGTATCGTGTTTAGCTCATTACAATTTTGGCATAGAAACTTCACAACTCCACACACTGAAAATAAGACATACCACACTTGGCTTTGAAAGGGTGGATTAAAAGTGAAGAATCAGCTTATCACACTTAGTCTACACCCACCTGAGCCTAGAATTTAAAATGAGTCATGGCTTTAATTTCTTTTCTTTCAACAGAGGCATACTTTAAAGATTTGTTTCATCTTGTGTTGCCACTGTGCTCACTTGGAGCCATTAATTTAGCCTTTCTTAGCCACACTGTGAGGTGTTGAGTATTTTTCTATCCATCCTAACTGGAAAAAAACAAACCACAGCCTCATGGATTTACTTAAGTCTCACATTTATCTTAGAGAAAGTGCACCCAAGTTGCTCCTTGGACCCAAAAAGGTGAAGCTTCATCTCACATACTTTGGGCATGTTGTTAGGAAAGGCGATTCCTTGGAGTGGACACCATGCTTGGAAAGGTGGAAGGTCAACAAAAGACAGGAAGACCCTCAAGCAGGTGAATTGACACTGGCTGCAGAATTGAGATCAAGTATATCAAGAAATTATAAAGATGTATTGTTCTTAGGGTCACTATGAGTCAATGACACTTAATAATATATTATGCATACAGCAACATATATCATGAAATCTGGCTTTGCACAGGGCATGATCCCTAAAAGGTGGACATGAATGAGATCGACTTAAAACTATCTGTCGGGGAGTGGGGTAGGGAAGTGATTTTTCTTCCTGCTGACGTCTCTTTTCTCTAGAATGAACAATATGAGACCAGAATGAAGAATAAAGCATTTCTTCTCAACCCTTTTGCTTTATGGGTTCTAATGTCTTCATATAGGAGCTCTTCAAGCTGAATCTCAACATGGACAGCCCTGGTTGGCACAGAAGCACAATCGTCCTTAGAAACTGTCCCATAGATTTGACACTCTCTCATGCAGACAGGCACTAAAGGGTGTGTGTGCACGTGTGTGACATGAATTTTGCACTTCGTGCCATTTCTAGTTTCCCTTTTATTAGTAGAAATTCAGCATGACCTCTTTCCGTCTCCCGGGGCAGGAACTCGAGTCAGAAGGCACTGCTAGGAAAGAGAGGTAATTTGACGGTACCATTTTGTACTTTGTCCTCTATTTCATACCACAATTCTTTTTTTTCAAATTTGGCTTGTAAGAATGGACAAGGGAGGGGGGGAAAAATCTATATAGTACCTCTTCTTTTTCAAAGAACTGAAAGTACAATGATAACCTTCCCAGCAGCAGCTGAATGAAAAGCTTGCAATTATAATACAAGAAGACCCTGGCTGTGTAGAATAAAACCTATGATAATTATATCTGTCATATTTGTACTTAGTCCTCATTAAATTTCAGTGAAATCATCCAGTGGTAAATAATGTGCAATCTTTGCTTTTAAATCAGAGGTCGTGAAAGTAAATGGGGATTCTGTTTTCCCATGTAGAATGTGAGAGAGGGGAACCCATCAGCTACATTTAAAAACTCAGCTTTACTCTTATGGAAGACACCAGACTGAGGGATGTCATTAATGTGACAGTTTGCTCAAACACAACATACAAGCTGTATTGCTGGAAACCGTTCTAAAATTCCTGAAGATACTTAATAAGCTTACGTCTTCATTCTGTGGATTATTAAGGAAGAAAAGAAAATTGTTTAAAGGTTTCATCAAAATACATTTAAATTATTTAATCCAGGACAGGACTGAGAACCAGGTCAGCAGTTCAAATCCACCAGCCACTCCTTGGGAGAAGCAGGGGCAGTCTGCTTCAATAAACATTTACAGTCTGAGAAAACTTCTGTGGCCAATTCTACTCTGCCCTATAGGTTCTGGGTTGATGATGATGGGTAGTTGTGATTGTTTTAAATTTATTTCAACTTTTAAGAATAAAATAAGAAGACAATGCAAGTTGATAGTCTTGCTCCCCTTAATTCCTAAAAGTTATAAAATCTCCAGAATTCCTATGCCAAACCTTGGTATCTGGGAAAACAAATCGTTTGAAAACTGATGTCTGATATTTCCTTGCTTTGAATAAAATGTTCTGTGAAATTTGATTAATGTTAGAAAAGGCAGATGTAAGGGTGGGTAGAGAGGAATACAGAAATATAAATGCGTGTTCACTCTGCGTATGAGATTTTAGAATAAGAGGTGTGACACCCCACACTCCCCCATCCCTCCCGCGGTGGTGGGCCTAGATCCCACCTGAGTCTGTGGTGTGAGTCAGAACATGCTGGCCGCTGGCACGTGTGCAAGCAGAGGCTGCCTGATCTTACCACCGCTGCCACCACACAGCGGAGCCCGGTGGCTCAGTGGTGAAGACTTACACTACCAAGCCAAAGGAAAACAATTTGAAACCACCGCTCCTCTGCTGGAGAAAGATGGGCAGTCTCTTCACGTGATTTACTGCTTCTGAAAACCCTTCTGAGGGTCAGCTCTGGGTTCATTCTGACTCAAAGGTTCTCAACAACCACAGACAACTCCTGCCGAGTTCCTCTGGTGCTGTTCAAAACTTCAGAGTCTCTGTCCTCACATGCTAAATGCTTACTCATAAAATCAACTTCCTTGGGGATGGTGGAAGATTATTGTTACATTTTTATGCAGATTAGCACTTCTAAAGATAAAACCCACCATTTGTGGGGTTTTTTTGGTAACACTAATTATCTGTTTATAGCTTAAGGCCAAATCACTAGGCTTTTTCTTTTTAATATT